CCACCTCTCAATCGTAGCACCATTACCTCCATACCCCTCCACCCGTCTAAGATTCTTTGTCGCATCCTTCTCAAATATGCCATGAGTTTAATTTGGTTTGTTTCAGGAAATGTGGTTGATTTTTGGGATTTTGATAGGGATTCTGTTCTTGATATGTGTTATTTGGTTTTGCAATTGGCAAATGAAATTGATGCTTTTTGTTATGACTTATGAGAGCATATGAACTCTGCTATTTTTCAAAGCAATTTGAAGAGAATTTTGTAGGCTAATTTTTTAAACAAATTACTTTGGTACTTGCCTGGTCGCGCAATAAATTAAGTCAGGTTGCGAATTATGCTTTTGTGTAACATTTGTGATATCACATGACATTATATATGAGCATTTGTAGCGTTATATATGGGCATTTGTGTCATTACATATTGTTATGTTTGACATTATGTGGTGTCATGTTTGCCATTATGTCTTTTTTAACATTGTATTGATATTTGATAGTTAATGTTATACTGCGACGACAACGATACATATTGTGACGCTAATGTGGGCAAAAATGGTAGAGAGTGGTGGTGTTGGTAGTGACGGCAAAATATCACCAACGGCAATGGAGGGTTTTGACTGCAGCGGCGGAGCATGGATGGCATCGGCGGCGGAGACTGGCAGGGACACGGCAACTAGAGCGCAGCGGCGTCGGCAACCTGTTTGCGGTGGAGCAAGTTGCTGAATTGTTTTTTAGTTTCAGAACTATGGCAAAGTTTCTTTTTTGGTTCGTGCTAATATTTGCATGTACTGTGTTGTTTCTTATGTACTTCGCCATGTGGTCGTGGTAGGACCAGAGAGAAATCTTAAAATATACTCTGTAATGTGCATAAAATGGCATAACTACGGCAGATGAGCAAAACTAGTGGCCGGCGCGTGGGTATAATGATTGAATTACACAAACGAGTTGTGCACACATTAACTTCTATTTACGAGATTTTATCTTTTTACTCCTATTTTAGGATTTAATCAATGTTTTACTTCTATTTTGCTCCTTAATCTTTAATATTAAGAATTAGTAATCCTATTTTTTAACACTTCGGTTCGTTTTTCGAGCAATATGTTTGAGAAATTAAATTATTTAAAATATATTAGTAAAAAACAACTAAAAATATTTTTTTAACATATTTTTTATTCAGATATTATAGTCTAGTTTTTATATTTTAATTCATTATATATTTATATATGTAGTAATTCATTATATGCGTATAGAGGGTATGAAACACTTCATATTTTTGGATTTAGAATTATATTTTTGCATAAAAATTTGATTATGAATAATTCATTTTTATGGAATAATTAGTAATGCATATACTTCTCTTAATGAATTTTATTAATGTATATTTATGTTAGTGGTTTTATTCCAAAGAAGCATTATTTTTTCCATTTATAACTTTTTTCCCCTTTTAACATATTACTTTTTAGCACTAATATATTAAGCATTTACATACTTTTTATAGGCTTTCGCCATAAATAATTAACTTAAACTACGAATATAAATTAAATTTAAAATATACAAACTAATGTAAATATTGTTCAAAAGAATTAAAACCAAAATAACATTACCCTTTAATTTAATTAAAATTTTTAAAAAAAATATAAAAAACCAAAAAAAAGAAAAAATGACCTTATAATTTTGTTAAAGACTAAAAATTAGAGATCCATTAAGACTCACTCTGGAAGTTGTTAAAAAGTTTTGGAGATCATATAAACATATTGGAGAATATGGTTTTTTAAAAGCTTAATCTTATAATCTTAATAAAACGTTAAATATAGTAATTTGTGATATTATTTTTCCTCTTTTTTGAATGCTAATTCTTATAAATTTAATAAAATATTAAATATAGTAATTTGCAATACTACTTGCCTTCTTTTTGGATTCTTTACTTAATTACCCAATTTTAAAGTCACATTAATAGAAAATAATTGATACCCCTCAAATCATATTGCAAAATATTCAGATATGATTCGAATAATGTGCCATCCATTACCCCCACTCAAGTTTAAATATGATTTGAATAATGTGCCATTCGAATATGATGCTCAATATTGTGATAAAAAGGACAAAATCAACATTTAAACTTCACTAGTGTTTACCCCGTGCTTCGCACGGGCTCGTATACATTCTATAAATATAATTTTATTTATTTTGGTTTTCTAATAGTGACATAATATGTGTTAGATGAATATTTTTTAACTCTAAGATATATATTTTTTTCAAATAATATAATATAAATATAGATGTATATGCACTAAAGATTCTATAAGTATTAAAACATTACTTTAATTATACTTTGTATAAAAAATGTCATTTTTAACAATTTTATAAACATATATATCATCATTGTAAAATATTTTGTGTAAAAGTTTTGTTTTAAATAAACCTACAAATATATTATATTCCACCAGTTTAAAACATATTTTGTTTACACAATTAAATTATATCTATAAAATATTTGTAACTTTATCAATATTTTGAAAAATAAAGTTTTAATTTATATTATTTTTAAAAACAATAAATCATTTCTCTTTTACTACTAATTAAATGGACTAATGAAATTCATCCATGTCACTAATGAATGTACATGTGGATGCACATGTCATCGTTCCAAGAAATAAACCTTATTTTACATAAATATATTACACATATATATATATAGGATAGGATATAGGATATAGGATATTTTTGGTTTTTTAACGTATTGTTGCTAGAAGCATCTAATTTTTCCATAAGATTTGGAACCATGAAAAGCAACTTAATAAAAGATGGACGAGATCGACTAGAGATGCAAGGGAAAGGATAAAAGGAAAACTTCAACAAAAAAATGACATGAAAAGGTGCGCCTGCAATATGTGCCAATAGAAACAAAAGAGCTATCCTACTTGAGAATACTTTTAACGTTCAAATGAGGATTAACAAGCTGCTAGAGCTTGAAGATAGTTAACAATGTCGTACATAACTCATTCAGAGATGCATGCAAATCATTGGTATATGAATTTATTGAAGGTACACAAGAGGCTGTTGAGCTAGAACATGCATGGAGTCAGCTAAGAAAGTTGTTTGTCACATTATTAGTGACAAATACCATGAGCCGTCTTCAAGTTGTTTGAAAAAAATCATTAGAGTTCTTGGTTGATGAGATTTTTTTTACTGGAGAAGAATATGGTGTAATCAAGATTCTTCTATAAAAAAATACTTTTTATTATTTAGATTAAGATTAAATTGAAATGTATGGTACATATACAAAACTCTAGAATTGAAATCAGGGTTGAAATAATTTAGTCCCATTTTAACCTTTTTTTTTGCAGAATTTCTTATTTCCCTAAAAGATCTAAAGAGTTTGTGTTTCATTGAGATTGAAAATATTACTTAAATCAAATGGAGGATCCTTAAAGGAGTTAAGTGTTATGTCATTTCCAGGTGACAACCCGCTTAATAAATTTCAAAATACTTTTTAGTAAAAGAGTTAAACTATGATAAACAAAAGTTATCATATGATCTTAGATGATATTTACCTAAAATAAATGATGACCAGAGAAAGATATACAAAAAAATAATGGAAGTTGTGACAGATGAAAGAGGATATTTTTTGTGTGTAAGGTTATAGGGAACTCGAAAAACATTCATCGAGAAATCATTATCTCCTTCTATAAGATCAAATAGTAGGATTGTTTTGAATGTTGCATCCAATGGCATTGCAACATTACTATTGCCTGGTAGAAGAACATCCCTTTGGCGCTAACCGAGTGCTCAACATGTACGGAGTGGGGGCCGAGGTGTAACAAATGATATTGGAGTAACCCTGCGACTGTGACGGGCGTACAAGCTTAAGTTCACATAGCGGGGAAGATCTATGGGTTTGAAAAAATGGATGCAACGAGGACTTTGCATTCCTAGGTGGGGGTGAATGTAATACCTCGTGGAAGAGCTCAAAACAATTGATAGTACTACTCATACCAACAAGGTGCATCTCCTTTTTCGAGAGCTCATCACTTAGAAACTCTAAAGTTAAGCGTGCTTGACTTGGAGCAGTTCTATGATGGGTGACCCCTGGAAAGCTTCTTGGATGCATAAGTGAGGACAAAGTGCGCGAGGAATACTTGTGTTGGTTTGTGGGGTCAATATTTAATCCTATGAGCAAACACTTACGGCCAGGGTGGGGGCCTAGGTGTTACAAATTATGTTATTGAGGAACAATGACCAAACATATGGATTATGTAATGAGACAAGATTAATCATTGAAGAGCCGTGAAATAGCGTTATGGGTGCAATTGTGGTTTTAGGGAATCAAGTCGTGGGAAAAGTTTATATACCTATAATGAATTTCGTATCATATGATCTAAAACTATCCTTGAAGTTCTAAAGAAGACAATTCCTAATAATTTCATATTTTGCTATGATTATTAACAAAAGTCAAGGTCAAACACTGGAATTTGTTGAATTTCTTTTAACCAACTCGGTGTTCACTGATAGTCAATTTTATGTTGTTATTTCACGAGTGAAAAAAAGACATGGTCAAAAATATTAATTTTAGATGATAATGAAAATCATTGCAACCACACCAAAAATGTGGTATACCTCGAGGTCTTTAAAAAATATAGATTTAAAAAACACTTTGAAGTGTTCACTTTTGAACTTTAATCTAAGAATTATCATTACCAAATATTTAATACTAAACTATATATTTACAGGACTGAAGAAAATTTCGTTTGACCCTGTGCATCTCACTAGTTAAAATACTACGGAGTATATATGAAAAAGGAGGAAAAAGGAAACAATAAAAAGGGAAAAAAGAGGGAGGGTTTCCAAAACCCACATACAAACAACAACAACAACCCAGTTAAATCTCACAAGAGTAGGGTCTGGGGAGGATGTGTACGCAGACCTTGCCCCTACTCGAAAGTGGAGAGGCTGTTTTCAAAGAGACCCCCGACTCAACATCGAAAGTTGCATTGCTTGACTAACTGCTACTTCATTAATTAAAGAAGCGCAAACAGTTTAGAGATTCATTTTGATTTATTCCATCACACCCAAAGCCAAAAAATGGTGAAATTTTGGCTCTATCAGGCCAAATAAAAAGAAAAGTAAAACATGTTTACAAATTACTTGAGAAGTAAAACGCTCATCAGTAGACCAGAAAAGACGAATATCTGGAATATCGAACAGAACCATTGCCAATCGTTCCAGTCCAAGTCCAAAAGCCCAAGCAACCTCATCCATTCTCCCACTTCTTTTCAGTATTTCTTGCTCTGTTACCCCACAACCCAATACTTCCATCCACTTCTCCTCAAAACCCTTGCCACGCCCTGCCATAGAGGGAAGCGCGGCAGTGGGCGAGGAAAAAAAAGGGTCGCGAGGCAAAATTGAAGCAGCAAAATCTTGGAAAATCATCCGTCACTCTCTTCTCCGCGCTAGTCTTCTCCAGCCATCATCGTTCACCTGCGACCCTCAGGTAACTCCACCCATCTCTAGGTTTGATTGCTCTGCATTCCATCCCATCTCTCTGCTTGATCTCTTTTAGGTAGAATGGATTGTTTTTAATTCATCAAAAAATCAAATAGATGAATTCATGGTAGTGCATACTAGGTGTTTGACAAAATGTCCAAATGTAGGTTATTGAGTTTTTGGACAAAAAAATACTATTGTTGGACAAAAAAATACTATTGTTTTCCCACTTATAAGGCCAATTTCCAGTCTTGTTTTCCTCACTGGACATTTACATTTGGAACTTAAAATTGGAAGCATAAGTGAGTTCTTTGTTCCTTTTTTTCATAATATTTTTCATATTTGTCTTCCATTGAAATTTCTCTCCATCTGTTTCTCTTTTTCCTTTTAGAGTTTTTACAAACTAACAATAGTATCATTTAAAGCTAAAGCTTAGCTTGACTGTTTTGCACTTGCTTGGTCTACTGTTGTATTCTCAATCTTATTAATAATTATGAATAATTAAAGTATACTCCGTACAATTTAAATCTTCACAACAAAATATAAGCATTTATAAAAAACAAAAATAAAATATATTGAGTTGAGAAAAAGTAAAATAAAATGATTAAAATATGCCAAAAATCTAAAGTGAGTAAAAAATAATGACTTGCCACTGCAGGACATAACACTCCAATGCCATGCCACTGTGTGACTAGATTAACTTTGATTGGTTAAACAGTGCCATGTCAGCATGTGGCATTCCAGTATATGACTTGCCATCCCTTCGGACCTCTGGATTCCTCTGCTTTCTGATTATATTTAGTTTCTATTGTTCAAATTATGTGTTAGAGTAGCTTGATTTAGCTCCAATTTGGGGTTCGAACTGGTTTTTAGCAAGTTGCTTCAATTCAGCTCATAAATTTTGGTATTTTCTGATTTCAAATTATGAAACATGCTTTTCAATGTTTTAGTTTTGTCACCTTTATTATTATTATTATTATTCATTTATTTAAAATATATAACGAATGCTTTCAAACTGAGATTTATTCAGGAATGTTTTGTCTGTTTATCAAGGTTGAATTCTTTTCGCAAATTGATCTTTGATAAAATGTGAAGTTATCCAGCAGTAAATCTGGCCTATGGTTGCTGTTATTTCAATTAGATGGTATTCAACAACTGTTTTTCATTGATTTCGAATTAATCTAAGCAAAGGTTATTCGGAATGCATGCTTAACACTCAAACTAAATTTCAACCTGGCAATTTTACTAACTGGATGGTGCTACACTGTGGTTATTAAAGCATTCGTGTAATCTAATTAGTGCTCAAGTCACTTAAAACCATTCTCCATCAATCTCGTTGTTAAGTTGATTTGATTAAATATCTTTTTGATCGAATGTGGAAATTTAGTGTGTGAAGATTTCCAAAGATCTTAATCCTATGTTTTTAATTAAACTTTAGCGGTGGTCTTAAAGTAAGTTGATAGAAACATTAGGGACTAGAGTTGAAGTCGCACTCTTCACTATCATTACTTAAGGGTTAAACTAGGGAAGGGGAGGACGTGGTCTACCGTTGCAGCATAACTCATAGTTAATCAGCATTTTGGTGTGTGAGTTGCAATAATATTTTTGAAATAATTTGGGTAGTTTTTTTTTCTTAAGAACTTTCGAGACTGCTCAAGCCATATTACAACAGTTGGTTTTTTCTCCAGTTTTAGGATGATGGTTTGGTAATGTTCTTGTTTTTCAAAGTTACTTGATCTTGCTGGGTTTGAAGCTCTGTTGTGTGCCATTTATCTTTCATTTGAAGCCTCTCAGATCTGCTATGTTATATTTTATTAGTTATACTATTAGTAAGTTATCTTATAAGGTCAAAATCAAATCTACAACATATCTCGTAAAGTCTCATAAGAAGATTTACCTATCTTCTATATTTTTAAGTTAAACTTTGACTCTTTCTTGGGACAGAGCGAAGAAGTCTTAACTTCTAGGCCTTACGACACACCTGACAATCCTTTTGGGGTCTGAAGCATTATAAATAATGGAAGGTAACACTGATTTTGATAGTTGTGCTTTTTACGATCTTCATTACCTATAAAAGTTTTGATTTTGTGTCATGTGTAGTTGAATATTATTTTTCCTCACGTTTTTGTGCCAATCAGGGCATGAGTGTTTAAGTGGGCATGGACCTGATTCGACGGATTGTGGCAAATTTCGTGATCGAAAATTGTTGGTAAGAAGTGCTATTCTCAAGGCTTGTGGATCCGTTGTATCTGTTGTGACTTATGATTTGCCAGGTACGTTAGTTTAACCAAATTTACACCCATTATTCGATGTGCCATTGTGATTTGTTTTAGCTCTGCTTGAATTCTTGTTTATGTGATAAAATTTTGGATTGAAATTTTGGGTAGCAGATATTCAATTTCTCCATAAAATACTAAGGTCAAATTAAACCAGGTGATCTTTTTTCTTTTAGATTTTATGTGGGATTTTAACCCTCCCCATATAGAATATTAGAATGTGATGTTGTGAAGCTTTATTCAACTAGACCCCTCGACATAAATTACAACACAATGTTGAAGTCGATTCATTAACTAGTTCAGATCAAGTTCCTTTTGACTCATTACATTTTTCTACAACCTTTTTATTTTAGATTCTTACAAAAATATGTTATTTATTGTGCAGATGACATGCTCAAGCGCCGAGGCAGTAGATTAATGGTGCCTTGTTATTCCTCCAAAGAACCTATATTTTGGGGTTCAGGGATAGTTATAGAATGTGAATCTAATGCTAGTGGTACTTATTACTTGACGGTACTAACTACAGCAATGATTTTTAAGCGTACAAATAATCTTCAACCTGGTGATGTTGTGGTAAGCTAGAGTGTTGACTTGTTCAATCTGATTTTTTCCTGTACTATGTTTGGTTTATTCCTAATCCATTCGGATATTTTTATTTTTATTCATTTTGGATGGTCATTTTTAAATCACTTTATATTTTCAAACAACTTTCAACAGGTTGACGTGGGTTTGCCTGATGGAGAGGAATTGGAAGCAAGGGTTATATGTTATGACTTCCACTACAACCTTGTAGCTTTGAAGGTTGAGTCAAGTTGTGCCATGCCTGTTGCCAATATGAAGTTAGTGGATGACGTTCTTCCGATGGATCCCGAAGAGCTACTTCCACATTCTTTTCAACTCCGACCACATTCCGACCGAGTGAAGTTAGTTCCGGGAGAGCTTGTGATTGGTCTTGGGCGTCATTATCGTGGTGATCTAATTAATGCCGTGGGATTTTACAGGTTTTGAAATGCATTTCTGTTCTATTTATATCGTGTTTATAGGTATTTCATTTCTTATTATGGAAAAGTGACTTGCACTCTTTTTTGTTTTTGTAGCCCAGATCCAACAGGAGAGGAGTGCACGGAACTGTACGGTGCATATTTTTGCAATCATATAGTATGTGTAACGTTCTTGTTTCTATGTCATGTTTCTTTTCATCATAAAAACTTTTTTTCAATTTATTATCTAAGCTGTTAAAAAAAGCCAAATCATGGGGGGTTGTGGTTAAGTTGCACATGAGTTTGCTTTTTCTCTCCTATCAATTTCATTGATTGATTGTGTGATTTTACCTAAATTCGTAGCTAGAGGATGGTGGGCCACTTATAAATCGTATGGGACAAGTGATTGGAATCAAATTTCACACAAGGGGACACCCTTACACTACCTTCTTGCCGACAAATATTATTTTGAAGTGGTGGAGTCATTATAAGAAGTTTGGGTAAATAATCTCTCTCTCTCTCTCTCTCTC